GCTTATGGGGAACACATATGCCGTAGTTTCTTTCTAATATTGATAACAACAAAGTTGACTCTTGGTTACTTGTTACTTAATCAACAATCTGTTACTTGTTTACAAAATCTTCCCTTTATTTACTTGTCTCGAAAAAAATTTGACCAAACGGATATAATAGTGAGTTAAGATTAATTCTGAATCATATTCCTCATGGGATCAACCCCAACCTATTAGTTGGGTTGTTTACTTGATAACGATCGCTTATACTTCTTTAGGGAAGTGTAATTTGAGTGTCACGTCCCAGGGGTACCCCTAGACGTAACATGGCATACTTGATCCCGAAGGGGTCGCATACAAGCCCTTAGTAACATCATAACATAAGATCATAGAAAGTACGGGAACAATTTAAAACTTCTTGAACCATACACTCGAAAACATTTTCATAAGCAAGCAAAAGTCTTTACTAACTCTTTGTCTCAAACCATATAGTTAAACTCATGAATATAAGTCTTGGGAAGCAGCCCATAAAAAGTCTAAAACATAAGAAATGACATAAAAGGGAAACATGGGTTTGTCCTCTAAACTATGTGGACTCACCAAATCTTCAAGTCTTCTTGCTTCTTAGAAATGTAGCCTTCAAAGCAACTCAATCTCCAACACCCTACATTTGATTAGAATGTAGGCAATATGCATTAGTACAAAATGTACCAAGTATGAAAGCTAACACAACAACATAAGAGCATCTCAGAATGGTTAGTCAACTTAAGACATAAGCATAAGAGATAATCACATAGTCATAACATAATCTCCAACATAAGCATCATATAATCATAAGACAACATAAGACATAATAATTGAGCATAGGAGATAAGCCATATTCATATAAACATAATTTACTTTTAGTAATGTCGACCATAATAGCACCATTCTCAACTAACCTCAAAAGCGTACAAGTGCAAAGCATGAATAACATCTCATAATACCACCCAAGCCAAGTACCCATTTTTAGTCATCTTAATCACAGTCTATATACATGGTCCACTCTTAGCTTATTTTCCATAAGGGTATCATACTCCTAAGTAACCTCAAGGCACACTTGTGCAATTCATGAGGGGCATCCCATAATACCACTCACACTAAGCATATCTTGAAGTCACTCTATTCATGCTTACTATTCATAGATGTCATTCTTGACCTACTACATAAAGACAAAGAACTACTACCTCAAGTCAATCATATCATGGAAGGTAGCTATAGCAACAATCAAAGCTAAGCATAAATCACATAAGAGGATACTTCATAAATAGCTTCAAGTCATACTTGTGCCATGTATGAATGGTATCCCATACTACTACTCATACTAAGTACTCCTTTAGGCTAGCTTACTCAATACTTTCTATTTATCATTCTAGACTATCAAGAATAGCACACTACTAGGCTAGACCTAATTACCATGGAAAACACACTATTGTGCAATCCAAGCTATCCAAGGTAGAATACATGTATTCCAACCTAGCTACCATGCAAACATTTAATATGATGCAAGCTACCCTTAGGAGAGTATGAATCTTCTATCCTAAGCTACTATGAAATGGTCTTGGCCAAACCAAGTCAAGCTACCATGAAGGCATTCTTGCAATGCTAGTTCAACCTACCCTTATGAGAGCATAAGTCCTCAATCCTAAGCTACCATGCCTATCCTAATGCAAGCTACCATGAAAATCATCCTTGCAATGCTATTTCAACTACCCTTAGGAGAGCCTAATTCCTCAATCCCAAGCTACCAAGAGAACTACCACTCATGCTATCATACAAGTTATACATGAAGGGATCATATGTCACAACTTCAAGCTATCATAGTTCATACATACTTTGATACATTTTAGGTGATTAACCCTTCAATTAGAACCATTATGTGTGAGAAGACCTTTCACATTCTACATACATGCACTCATATAGTTCTAGGCAGGTCATGTGGGTACAAGCCTTCCACCACAACTCTATCTACTTTCTATATCAATTCTATGCTAGCTATCTCATCGTAGTAGACTTACTCTATAAGCCCTAGTGATCAAAATTATGACTTCAAGACCTTCATTCAAGCTTCGCTTCACAATTATCATACTAGACTAGATGACAAGGCATATTAGTCACAGGCCTTAATCATAGGCAAATTCTATACATAAGTCATCATAAAGTTCCAATTTCTATCATTACCATTCATGGTTATCATACATATTCATAAATCTATTTCAATTCATAATTTCATATTCATATTATTGACTAAGTTCCATACATGATTACAATTCTAGAGAATCTATCAAGAATCATTAATTTCTCATCAAAAGACATAAACCCACATACTTTGATTTCTAGGGTTAATCATGGAATTCACATAAATTCTTCATAATATCACGAATAAATACTAAATTAATCATATATAAGTATTATCCAACCATTTGGAATCATGCCCATCTAAAACCCATACATTGGAAGTAACCCAAGCTTAGATTGGGGTTCTTCTTCACAAATCTTGGGGATTTCTAAGGGTCTCTATGGGTGGAAGAACCCATAGATGAAAAGATAAACATACCTTAATCAATGCCCTAGCACAAGCCTTCAACAATAGAACCTTTGATTTTGACCTTAACTTCAAGCTCTAGCTTCTTCTTCAATGGAGGTCTTTCTAGAGAGAGAAATATTTGAGAGAGGAGTGATTTGGGTTTTTGATTTGGGTCTAGTGTAAAGTGACTTAAACTTGGGGGCTAAAGGCTTAAAATCCTTTAAATAGGTGAATAAAACCTATATAAAACGACCACATTAATTAACTACACGTCTTGGAATTAACTAAACTAATCTCGACTAGGCAGCCATGGTGCCAAGCACCACGAGCCTTCCCACGAGCTGTGGTCATGACCACTCACCGTGAAGTGGCTCATGGTCCCTTAGGCAGTAGCTAGACATCATGGCTTCCTCTAACACATGGCTAAGGGGTCTTCACGGACCCTATTACGGACCGTGGTCAAGACTACTGGTCGTGAACCCCTTGGCAGTAGCTTGCCAAGGTTGGGCAGCCTTGGCCCCTTGGCTTAGGCTTGCCCTTTTGCCTTGGTACTTTCCCGTCCCATGCTCAACCAAACTCTAAATGGTCTTATAAGCTACTAGGTCTAACATGTACCTTGAAGTTCAATTACTAAACCCCTCATTCCAAGCACGTAAAGTTTCATTTATGGCTCTAATTCTCAACATCACACTCTAGAACCCTAGCTTTTGGCTCTAGTTTAGTCTACTAATTTTTGGGGCGTTACATTGAGTGTATCAAATTTTGGCGCCGCTGCCGGAGAATTTGGCTTTTAGATCAAGTTTAACTACATAATTGAACTTTAGTCAAGTATTTCCTAATTTTACGTTTTGTTTTTGTTTTTTTTGTCTTCTACCAGTTTCTACTCTAGTGTATGCCAAGTACAGAAAGTCAAAGCGAACCATTAATCCCCTACGATACAAAGCTGAATAAGACTTTGAGAAAGATGGCAATCGAGGGGTCCATAACAATCAAATCATAGAGGAGCATGAGGATGGAGTTGAATTGCAACCGCCTGGAGTTGGTATTGAAAATGCTCAGGTTCATGGTAGTAATCTACTTGGTAATGTGGAAAAGGTTCAGAATCCACTAGCACCGAGGTTTCGTAAGCATTACATGGCTGATTATGATGCGACCACCTCAGATGGTCCTATTGTTCTTCCATCTTTACCTCCAGGTCACACATTCGTGGTCACTAGCAGTTTTATACAGATGCTTACAGTGTGAGGGTTGTTTCCTGGGTTGACTTCCAAGGATCCCTATGCTCACATGGCTAAACTTTCCAGTGTGTGTAAAAGTTGTGTTGGGCGACCAGAGTTAGATATGAATGTTATAGGTCTGAGGATTTTCCCACTATCATTAACTGGTGATGCTGCGATATGGTTTTCTGAGTTACCCTATAATTTGATCTACACATGGGATCAAATGCATAAGGTATTCATAGCGATGTACTTTCTGGTGTCCAAAAAGGTCAATCATAAGGATAAATTGAACAACTTAACAGCACTACCAGGAGAGTCGATCAACAGTTCTTGGGATATGTTCATCAGAAATGTTCCAAATCACCGCATTGATAATGAGTCTTTGAAAGAGTATTTCTATAGAGGAAAGGATGACAATGAGAGAGCTGTGTTAGATACAAATGTTGGAGGATCTTATTGTGAGTGCACTTTTGAGGAGATTGATGAAAAACTTCAAAGAATTTCCCAAAAAAAACAAAGCATGGAGCATTAGAAAGGCAAACACTAGTAGGACCACGTTCGCTATTCAAGCTCCACCGAACCAAGCCGATGATGACTTTCGGGAAGAGATGGCACGTATGAGAACATAACTGGGTTTGGTACCAAAACATGTCAGTGGGAGTGTAGAAAAGGTAAATGTGGTAAATTACCTAACTAGAACTCCACCACCACCAGTTGAGGAATGCTACTATAAGGAGGACACGTATTTGGTTAATGGTTAGATGGAGGATTTTTGAGCCAATGCCCAAGGTTCCAACTCGGATAATTGGAGCCAAGGTCATGGAAATGAAGGTCGAAATTATGAAAACTACAATCGAGAGGGAAACTATGTCCAGGATAGGAACTACAATCGTGATAACACCGATAATCGGAACAACTATGATAACATGAATGAGAAAGTTGGGCCTTATGTTCCACCTGGTAATATGAAATCTGGTAATAGAGAGGCTGGTGGTAGTATATCACACATTGAGGATGAGATTCAAAAGATGATGAAGAGGTTTGATGCTACTGATGCAAATGTTAAAGACGTGCAGACTGAGTTGTCGGGGATTGGGTAGAAAGTTGATGCCCATGCAGTGTCGATCAAGCAACTGGAGCAACAGTTCAGTCAGTTTTCCGCTACCGTGAATCCACGCCAATCGGGCATACTTCCCAGCAACACCATCCAAAATTCAAAAGATGATGGGTATTAAATGGCAATCACGACTCGCAGAGGAAAACATACTAGTGATCTCCCCATGCCGTCGGAGGTTGAAAATGTGGTAGAAAAAGATGCGGATGCGGTTTTGGTTACTGGAGACACGAAAGAAGATGCTGAGAAGGAGGCTGAGTTGACCCATAAAATTGTTCCCATGCCTAGACCTCCACCTTCCTTCCCACTGAGGTTAAAGCAAAAGACTGAAGAAGACAAATACCGTTGGTTCATAACTATGTTGAAACAACTTTCCATCAATGTCTCGTTGATAGAAGCCTTGGAGCAAATGCCTGGGTATGCAAAATTTATGAAGTACTCGGTGACCAAAATGAGGGCTGTGAGTTTTGAGAATGATGAGAGGTTGAAGTATTGTAGTGCCATTTCTATGAGGTCACTGGTACAAAAGAAAGAAGATCCCGAAGCTTTTCACTATTCCTTGCACCATCGATGCACTTTGCGAAGGCCTTGTGTGATTTGGGGGCCAACATTAATTTGATGCCATTGTCGATTTATAAGAAGTCTGGTTTAGGAGCTACAAAACTAACTGCAATACCTTTACTTATGGCTGATAAAAATGTGAAGAAGCCCATTGGAGTGCTTCAGGATGTCCTTGTGAAAGTGGGGTCGTTTATTTTTTTCGGAGGACTTTGTGATACTTGATTGAGAAGTTGACTTTGAGGTTCCCATAATCTTAGGCAGACCATTCCTCGCCACTAGGCGCGCCTTGGTCGATATGGATAAAGGACATATAAAGTTTCGACTGAATAAGGAGGAGGTGACTTTTAATGTCTGTCGGTCTATTAAGCAGGAAAGTGACCTTAAATCGGTATCTATTGTGAGTCACATTGTGGGACAGGGTGCTAAAGTGTCTAGTAAAGAGAAGTTAGGTGCAGCCTTGTGCAAGGAGAAAAAGCAACATGAGCAAAATATAGAAAAATGCGACCTAGCTCTAGGTGATATGGTGCTGCTATATAATTCAAGGTTGTGCTGGCTTCTTAAAAGAATCAAATCCAAGTGTACTGGACTGTTCAGAGTGACCCAAGTGTCCCCATGAGGAGGGGTTGAGCTCGAGAAGATGAAGAGGATAAGGTTCAAGGCCAACCACCAGAGGATAAAAAGCTACGTGGGAAATTTTGAAAATGTCAATGCACTGATAGAGGCATGGAATATTGATGAAGTCTGAGTAATCAAGGTGCCACAACGTTAAATCAAACGCTGCTTGGGGGGCATCCCAAGATGTACAATCTAGCCAACTATAGATTTTTCTTTTCGATATAGAGTTTTCTTCTTTTATTTTGATTTTTGTAGCTCATTAGATAGATGTTTTAGTTTTGTATTAGTGTTGGCTAGATATAGAATAGGGTCCGTGTCTAAAAAGTGTCCAAAAAATTGTAAAAAGAAGCCCTAATGGTTGCTACGTATGCAGGGATGAAAGGCAAAATCTGCAGAAAATAGTTGTGCAGTGGTCTACGGACCCCATCAACGATCCGTTGGTCCATCCACGGACCGTGGATGGCGTCCGTAGATCCCATGTAAGTTTCTCAAATTCTACAAGTGTCAGAGTGACCTACGGACCAGACCTACTGTCCGTAGGTCAACCAACGGACCGTCAACGGGGTCTGGTGGGTCCAAAGTTAGGGTTCTACCGACCCGACCCGGACCCCTTTATTACCAAACCCTTCATTTTAAAACCATTCCCCACTTCCAAAACTCCCTCCCAACCATTTTTCAACCCTCCAAATACCCATAATCCTCCATAAATCCCCTAAATCACTCCATATCAATTACCCACATCCCATAATCCTCTTTTTCTCTCCAAATTCATTTGCCTTCTCCATTCTCATTCCCCAACTATTCCATAGTCCGGGTTCGGTGTCAAAGGCTAGAAAATAAGGTCACAAAGTTCAATGCACTAGTACACTCACCCACTTCATTACTTGTAAGGTAAACGATTTCATCCTAACTTTGAAATTTATGTTCATTGTCTAAAGTATGAAATCATGAAGTTGGAACTTGACCTCGGGTTGTAAATCTCTTATTTGATTGTTGAATTATGGTTAGGAAACACCTGTAGGATGATAGTATGTGATTGTGTTATAAATTTAAACCACATAAATCAATTAATAGGTCTAATACGATGTTTTGACTTAGGGTTCGTATGTTTCGGTTTATTAAAATGTTGCCATGTGTGTGAACGAAACCCTAAGGATGATTAACTACCATATTATATGTTGAAATGCATGTATAGGCTTAGTTTGATTGTGCAAATTGTTGAAATAAGGCATGAAGAGTGAGTCAAGTCTGAAACCTAGCACTGTACTAACCCACAACTCCAACCCACAGACTGTATTTCACCCTACGAACCGTACGTCGAGGTCCGTGGGTTAGTTGCACACAAAGTTTTAACCAAGTGTAGAATGACGGTGTGGACTACGGTTCGTCATTCCATCGACAAACCATTCTGTACATTCGTGGTTCCCACATCAGAGACCCAATTTTGGGTAATTTGACCTACAGAGGGGACCCACGGACCGTCATTCCATCGACGGACCGTAGGTCGACAGTTCAGCTACTGTCCAGATATTTTTTAAGTTCGTGTTTTGTCAGAATTTTGTTCTAAAATTATTCCATAAGTATTATTGCACTATTTTGGTACTAATTAAGCTTCCACTGGTACCATGGCCCCAAAACAAGCTCTGACCTATGCCACTAAGGGCAAATCAAAATCCGTTGATCCCTTTCAACGTCTGATCGTTGCAGCTGATGAGGAGTACATTCCTCTTACCACCAGGATCTCCCCTACTGCCCCTCACACTACGAGGAATCGATCCTAGCAGGTGAGCTTCGACGAGGTCGCTGCTCCCAGTCTGAGAAGGAGGCCACACCGATTAGATCAGAGGATGGTTCAGAGTCCCCATCCGGCTCCAGCTCCAGCGGCAACACCGCCTCTTCGTCCGAGTCTGGTAGCACATGAGATACTCTAGTACCACCCATTTTGAGCCTCTAGCGATTTCTACAGAGATAAACAAGTGGTGTGTGGAGGGCCAATACCATAAATACACCGATGGTCGCATGCTGAGTAAGCACGACAAGATGGCTAGACTAGTCACTGAGGAGCGTCGAGTCCTCACAGGTAGCCTCCAGATCGCTCCAGTCATTGAGGAGCTCTTCCCAAGGCACATGTATGAGTGGATGGCACGGATTCTAGGTGCGTACAATGAGGAGATAGTACGGAAGTTCTACGTTTCCTATGCCGCCACTATTAGAGGTTCTATCTCCAAGCGGGCCAAGCCCGTCGCTCAACCTCCACTTAAGTTGTAACGACCCGAGAGCACCCCCTAGTCGTAAAACGGCGTACTCGACCTCTTGGAGGTCTTATACAAGACCTTAGCATATCATGAACATTAAAGCATATGAAAATAGCGGAAAATTTAAAACTTTTCTTTACAATCGAAGTCTTCATAAAATAAGAGAGAGCCTATGACACTATGTCTCAAATCATCTATAACATTTAGAATAAGAACTCTTTCATAAAAACTTAGGGACACGACCCTTACATAATAATTACTAGGGACACGACCCTTACACAAGTCTAAAGACATAAAACATAAAGACATAATGACATAAGAGTACGAGGTAGGTTCATCCTCGAAACTATGAGGACTCCCCAAGTCTTCATTCCCAAGCTCCTTAGAAACCCAACTTCCAAGCATAAGACATCACATCACCAAACCCTACACTTTGTAAAAATGTAGAAGAAATATGGGTTAGTTCAACACACGTACTAAGTATGGAAGCCATGAAAGTAAAACCATTAAAACATGCTTAAAAGGGACATTTAGTTGAAACCATGCTTTATGCACTTTTGAACATCTTCTTGAAAGAGTTGAAGAATCATAAGTCATAAACAACTCACATGTAGTTCATCAAAGCACAAGGGTAATAAACATCACCATATGCATAGTCTCTAATCATAGTCATAGTGCACATATCACTCATTACAAGACATAATACTCATGCATAGTCAACATCAAGGTCATTGCATCATAATAGAATAATCACATAAGTAACCCTAGGTTCTACTTGTGCAATGCATAGGTAGGGTCCATAGTCCTACTTACACTAAGTATTACCTTTGGATCACCATGCTATACTTATCATACATTAGTCTTATCCATAGGTCATATACATAGTAAGGTGGAATTCACAAACATTAGTTCATATCAAGAAAAGTCAATCATTAACATAATACAATTAAAGCATGCATTATTCATAATCTTCATAAAAAGATAGAACAACACCATTAAGTCATAGTTCATACAACATGTTCATGTCATACATCTTAGTCATAATTCAAATAATCCATATCATAGGTAAACCATCTTCATAATGATCATACATAACATAGCTTCAACATACATAAGTCATAATCATCATAATCATAAGAGAACACTACTACAACCATCCCTTAGGATCCCACAAGTGCAATGTGCAAGAGAAGTCCCATACCCTCCCTTACACTATGTAGAAACCCTTAAGAAAGCCCTAGTAAGAGTTCACACCTTTCATCCCTTCATTTACTTTTACATTAGGGAGATATTGCCATAACCGACATAGACCATGAGAGCTACATGGAATCCGGTGTTCTACTCCCACACCGAAAAGAGAGGGTTAACACTTGCCTAAGGTGTAACCATTCATACATAGCTATCTAGGTGGATCCACTAAGCTAGAGTCCTATGTGGGCACATAGTTAAGGGTCAATGAGATTGCTTCTAGAAATCCTAACTTACTAAACGTGGGGATTTCCATCTCATGAGACAACACATACCGTGGGTAATCCAGACTTGCTAAACGTGAGGAAACCCATGTGGGGAGCCGAACTTACTAAACGTGAGACCCCCATCTCATTTACATGCCCTTTCGGTGCTAATCATCTAATTCCCTTTTGTAATCATCTTTAGTCATCACATAAGTTCACATTAGCCTTTACTAGACTCTTATGTAGACATCTTACCATAATAGCTCATATGTGTTCATAAGTGAGTAACAATCCTTTCACCTTAGAAACACTTAGCAAGTGAGTAAACCTTTCACTTTACATTACATTATAATCATGAGAACTACCTTTCAATCATATAACAATCATACCATAACATACATACATACTTCATAGCTATTTCAAGTGTAGAGGGTTAAGGATGAGGAAACTAGGTCATCAACACCACAACAACACATTAGGTATAGCATCATTACAATCTAAGTAATTCACCTTTCATTAAGAACCTTCATCATGTGAGAATGACCTTTCACATTATCATACCATGCATAACATAGACTAGTTTAGAGTACAATTGAGGAAACCTTTCAAGAGACTCACATTCATTACATTAGTCAATAGCTTCATTCATTCATGTGTGTGTACATATGTGAGAAAGCCTTTCACATAAAACACCTTTACTCATAGCATGTTCATATTGTGTTAATAAGAATTACCTTCAATTCAACATAACAACAATAATGCCAACATCTCACAACATTCATACTTGCATTGCATCTCATCATAACATGCTCAATTACCAACTAGGGTTAGAGGGGAGAGGGAACCATCATCCAACTTCATCATACATGAATTAAGCACGTACATTCAACAATACATA